AGGAGAAACTTTCTGACAGTGAGAATAATCAACCCCTGGAACAGAAGCTGCCTTCGGAAGTTGTGGGAGCTTCATCCTTGGAGGCTTTCAAGAAGAGACTGGACTGCCCATCTGTCATAAATGGTATAGGGTCTCCTGCTTGGGTGGGTGGGGGTTGGACCAGATGACCCCCAAGGTCCCTTTCAACTCTGATTATCTGTTATTCGTGGCTGCCCTTTGGCAGAGCCGACAGGGGCCAACCAAGAGCTGAATTGCAGCCAACTTCCGCAACGCTGAGCATGTCGGGGTTCGGAAGACACCCCCCTCCCCCCCGCCCCCAAGGGACCCCTTGACCCAGGGGGTGCAACCCTCCCTTTTGTGGGCCCCCCGGGCCCCCCCCCCCCCCGGCCGGCCCCCCCCCCGTTTCCCCCCCCCCGCCCCTCCTTCTCCAGGCCTGGCCAGCTCTGCCGACATGATCTCAGCAGTCACCTTGATAAGGTGGGACGTCAAGGCCGCCGTAATGGATGGCTCTGCTGCAGCAGGCGCAGCTCCGCGTGAATATTCATGCCCTGCTCCGCCGGTGCATCCCGGACGGACCCCCCCCCCCCCCCCCTCCCCCCCCCCGGGGCCCCTAAGGGATTTGTGGCAGCCCCCCCCCCCTTTCTGGGGGGGGGGGGGGATAAAGTTTTCCCTGTGTTTATCTTCCCTGACTTATCTTCCCTGACGGAGGGGGGCCTGGCAGCCTTGTGTTCCCTTCGATGGTGGTGGGAACAGAAAAGAGGAGGAAGAGGCATGGTTGGGCATAAATTAAGTGGCAGCAGACCCTTCGGATGCCAAGGGACAGGACACCGGGGGGGAGGGAAGGGGGGGGCAGCTTGTTCCAGTCGGTGCCGCGACGGGACTGCTAATGCAACGACAGCTTTGCGAGGTCTGGAGAGGCTGTCGCAAACAGGCCATTCCGGGACGCGCCGCCGCCGTTGGTTCCCGCAAGGACCCTGGCACAACGGAGCAGTGTGTGTGTGTGTGTGTGTGTGTGCGAGGCTAAGAAAGGGGCAGCGAAGGTGAGCAGACTGCCTTCCCTATTCCCACCCCACAAGAGAGAGAAAACAGCCCTTTTCACTAAACTCTGTGGCGGCCCGTTTTTCTTCCCATCCCGAGTTCAAATCCAGGAAAACTCTTCCTTGGAGGCGGGGAGGGGGGAGGCAGTTTGCCCTTTTTGCAACCAAGTTAGAAGAGTTTATCTGAATCACCAGCAGCCTTCAAGCATTAGGGGACTTTAAAAAAAAAAAAAACCCACCCCTCAAAAAAACCTGGTTTGATTTAGCTACCGCCCTGCCTGTCCGATTTTAAAACTCGGGCACTTCCAGGCTGCGGATCTTTTTTTTAAAAAAGGGATCAAATCTTTGGGGAGTTTGCTTGCAGGCATGCAAAGACGGGGCCACTTTTCTGCTTCTACTACCCCCCCCCCCCCCCGCTGGTCTTTGAGCCTCGGGCTAACCTAGTCAAAGTCTCTCCGTAATTTTCATGGGCGGCTCGGTGCCTGGAGAGAGTCCCGGAGGGGGAAAAAAACACAAAACTGTTTCCCCCCCTTTCCCCCTCCGAGCAAAGGATGAGAAAAGCCGCTAGGATTCAAGCCAGCAGGTTTGCTATTATTATCATCAACCGCAAACCTCCTTACTATGGATTTGGCCTCCCATTAGAAGTCCAGAAGCCTCGAAAACGGCGCAAGCTCTTCTTTGCAAAGCTGGACATCGCCACGAAGAAGCAACGATTAAAGAGGGGGATGTTTTATTCGCCGGTTCCTGCGGCCTCTTCCCGCTTCTGGCCCAAAGCAGGATCCCCTCGTCCCCCCTGGAAGACTTTTAAGGGACCCCAAAAGCAGCTGGCTTCGCCCACCGTGCCCAGCTCAAGGAAATCCAAACACCCCCCCCCCAAAAAAGGGAGTTTTGGGCTGGAAATAAAATAATCCTAAGCTCCGATTTTAGAGCTGCGGAGAGAGAAAAAAAAGGTCCCTCTTTCGTGGTGGCCTCAAGGTTTCCTCCCTTTCCTCTCGGCGGGTTCTGGTTCCTTCTGGGCGAGCCGGAGCCGCTGGCTGCTGGATTTCGGTTCGGCAAAGGGCTGCACCGAGAGTGGGACGCGGACGGTGTCGAGGCCGTTCACCTGCAGCGCAGGAAGAGAAGGGGGGGCAGGGAGAGCCCCGTGAGACCGCCGCGAGCAAAAAAACCTGGAGCTCTCGGTATGAAAACTCAACTCTCGGTTGGAAGGGGGTTCCTCCCGCTCTCTTGGGAGAAAGTGGGGGCAGGCTTTTGGCCTCAGGGTGCCCCCCCTCCCACCCCCCACCCCCAATGCTCCATTCTGCCTACCTGGGCAGGTCTGGAAGCCAGGGAGGAGGAGGAGGAGGGCAAAAGTTTCCATTGTTTTTCTTGCAGATGTTTCATAACCGAACTAGGTAACGTTATCAGCGCTAGTTTGGGTAATGATTGGGTAATGTCAGCGAGGAGAGCACCACCGTCCTCCTTCTCGACACAAACTCCCTTCTAGCACTGATCATGTTGCCTAGTTGGGTCATGAAA